CCATTTCTCCTAAATGAGTCGCTCAAACCAATTTTTGAAGAGCGCCACTGCAGCAGTCAGATGAGACTTCCATTGATAAAAAAGGGGGATCTTGCACATGATGGAATGTTCCTTAGTAGACACGTTGGTGCTGCTATAGAGTCTTTTTTTTTTTTAACTTTTTTAAAAATTAAGTTTATTGGGGTAATATTGGTTAATACAATTATATAATTTTCAAATGTATATTATAATTTGACATCTATATATTCTATTGTGTGTTTACCATCCAAAATTCAGTTTCCTTCAGCTACCGCATATTTTATCCCCTTTACCCAATTCACCCTTCCTCTACCCCCATATATTTGCCCACCTTTAACTGTCTACCTACCCCCTCCTCCCCTACCCTGTACCCTCACTTGCTGGGTGGGATTTTAAGCTCTAAATAGCCACATAGGTGACTAGCCCGGAAGGAACTGTATATGAGCTTAGAAGGAAGTGAAGCCACTTTCAAATAGATTTCTTCTCAGTCATACAGACACATATACATACACAGTGAGCACGATCACGTCTTAGCAAAAAGGCCTTCTTGAAATGACTCCACTTTTTTAAAAGTTCAGTTCTTGCCAGATATTACAAAGCCTCTTTCTTCGCCTGAACTCATTGCACAAAATCAGCAGAGCCCTGGGAAAGTGTTTACGGAACCCACATCCATTTAAAGGCCCAAGACAAATCAATCCATAAGTTCCTTCCTTCCAGCACCCTTCTCCCCCAAAAAAGAAATTAATTGGGGTCAGAGGAGTTACACTTCTTTGAACCTTGGGCTCTTTGGGGCATTACTTATGGAGCCCTCCTCTTCACCCCAACAATTGCCTCCCTGAATCATTGGCCGGAAGAGTTAGGTTCCCTCACAGGGGGCCTTGGAACCATGCACGTTAGATCAGAACAAGAACTGTAGCTGAGGTGAATGTGGAGCTGGCACTAGCCATCCCCAGGGAGGACATGCTGTGAAGTCACTTGATAGCGGCTGGAGGCAACAAGCCCAGTCCCATTCTGTCTGACGCTTCCTCAGTGTTAGTTGGTAACTTTTCTCTGAGAATCTAGAAGCCCTTTCTGCTCACCTCCTCCACTGCCTCTTGCCCTGTCCTCTCCGTCTTTACATAGTCAAACTAAAGTCCTGGAGATACGTGCCCACGTGGTGCCGTGTCACTGGCTGGGAGGCACCAGCCCCATGAGACCTGGGTGTTTCTGCTGTGATTACCCAACTGAAAATACACGTAGGCGTTGTATGTACATCCAAAGTGCTTAACAAAAAGTCACTTATTCTTGATAAATGCCAGGTTTTCTTTCATATTAGGAAAAGCCATGGAGGCTATTTTAGTGATTATTAAATGACTCTATCACTGAGTTTAGCAACAGTTTTTAGTCGAGACTCTTCACATGGCAATTGACAGAAATCCAGCTCAACCTAGTGTAAGCAACAAAAAGTGAGGGGGCAGATTTATTAATGCCCAGAACTAGGAAGTCTCAGGGGCTGAAGTGATGTCATCAAGACACTGTTTCTTTCTTAGGCACTGTCCCCATGAGGTGGCAAGGATTGCCACCCACTCTCTGGGCTTGTGTTTTTCATACAGCTAGAAATCTCA